GGATTGATTCAGTGACTGGGATAATGGGGATGGGAGTGTCAGAGACAGTGTGATTGGCACAGGACAGAGCTGAGTTGGAATGCAACTAATATGAATAAGAAAGTGAAAAGCCAACCTCTTCCAGTAAGACAGGTAAACCAAGTCGGATTGAATTCTCAAGGGTACGTAGGAAATTACTATCTGTAAGTTTAATGATCTTTAAACCACTTCTGCTCTCCTTGTTTCTTATCCAGCGGTTTGCCTGTATGAGAAAGCAACAGAGCAGGACATTTATGTTAGAGTTTTCATCTCCAGTAAACGAACGTGTACAGAAGAAAATGTAGTAATTTTATTCAGATTTAAAGTAGTTTGGAAAATAAAATTTTAAAAAAGTCCCTCTTAAAAATTATATATGACAATTTTTTATTTATATTTTCAACAAATGAAGAAAAGAGCTTTGTAGGGGGAAAATCAAGTCATACTTATTCTCATATTTAAGTGGTCTCCTTCCCTTCACAACATTTTCTCCTCTAATATCCACTCAATACAAGCTGATCTCTGGAGCTGGGGAAGAAGGATGATGGCTTTTGGAAAAGTACAACCACGTTTGCTTAAAATTCCTTCCCAACATTCACACTTTTTAGGAGCAAGGACTACACAAGAGTGAATTTCGGCCCACATAAGTAGAAGAGAACTATGAGTTATCCTTTAAACAAAACCAATAAAAAGAAATTATGTCGAATATATAAACATGTATCTTCTGACCTCTCCTCCACAAAATTAAGTCCCCAAAGTAGATGACTTCTAAACTCTTCACTAGGTCTACATAGCCATGATGTGACAAGTCCATCTACTCTTCATTATCAACTATCTTGTTATGCAAAATTTTTGACAGAAGTCTCCATAAAAATAGTGGGAAAATCTATTATATTGATTATTTTAAGTATTAATAATGGACACTGGCAGTAAAGAATGCCCAGGTGGAAGGTGGGACATGACAGTAATGCTAATTGTGATGGCTAAGGCTGTGTGTGAATCTGACTTGTTCTTGATTCTCAGTAGTTTGCCATTTATAAATGTTATAATTTGTATATACTTATGTAATGATGAAATCGGCAAGTCATATAATATTTTAAGTTGGAAGTTACCGAATAATAAGACTTGGAAGTTAAGCAATCATGTAAGCACCCTTCATTCTGTGATCCGATGTGGTCATCTTTCATTTTCATATAATGCTGATTTTCATATAAATGGGTCTTTGGAATCTAACTATGTCAGTAAGTAAGGAGTGGGTGTATGTTAGTTTTCTAAATATTAATAGCATAATATTTAATGTTAACAAGTCACTATCTTCAGTATTTGCTACCTACCTGATCTTGAGGATCTATCATCAAAGGCCACCGTCGCCCCTGAGTAACTAAAATGCCGTTTTCTGTTGATATCGTGTCCCGAGGCAGTCCATCAGTGTTCCATCGCCGTATTTCATAGGGATCTCCAAGGATGTTAATAAGACTGAAGGAAGTATCGATTGGGATGTTCAGATAGAGGCAATCATTGATCCACCATTCTACAAGCTGAGGAAAAAAGGAATGCTTGCTTACACAAAGTCAGGAGCACTCAGTAGTTAAGGGAACCCAAGTGTGGCGATGAGGCATAAGGACTGGAAGAGTAAAGCCCCATACAATCTGAGAGCATGAGATCCAGCATAGGACAATCACTACTGTGGCACCAGAAACCAGAACATCCATTGCTCTTGAGTTAATTCCTACCAATGACAATTATGTGATGCAGATTAGATGTGTATCCCACAAGGTTTTCTTAGGTGTATTCTTTATGGAAATATTGCCAAGTCTCTCTTCTTGGTAAATTAAAATCCAGGGACTTTTTTGGCAAAACAACTGGACAAGAAATCAGTGTAACTGAGCGAGTCCCCAGAAAAGACCACCAAGCCAATTAGCCAAGTTAATAAAGTTTATTTCGAGTTCGAACCTGGGCTCCCATGTGCTGACACAGCAGCATTCACCTGAGAGCCCCGAGACAAAGTGAGCCCTCCCTTTTATACTTTCTTGCTTCTTTGTCTAGCTATACAGTTTAAGATTGGTTACTTATAGCAGTTCTAGTACTAGTTTGCTCTTTATTTGTTAGCCATAGCAGGGAGGCAGTTTGGAGACTTGTTTGAGCCTGATTGATGGGGAAGCAGTTTGGAGACCTATTTGAGTCTGACTGGTTACTTCAGACACAGGGCTGCAGAAAAAACTTCCTTATGTCCTTGAAGAAGAGTTCCACTTTATGGAAGTTGGCCAACAAAGTGTGGTTTATCACAGGTAGGGGAGGTTGCTTGCTGGAAACTACGCAAATGAGTGGGATGGAGGTAGCTGCACTTTGTCAGAAACTGAGTTTTTGATATTTGATTCTTACAATCAGGAGAGAGATTCATGTGTATAGCCTACGTTTATGTTTCTTATAAAAGGTATTTGCAATGAATAAATCATTGAATGTACAGAACTCTATCATTCTATCTCCAGCCTCATTTCTCTCACCGAGCCCATATTTTCCAGCTACTGAACCTTCTTCTCTGTTCCCAACTTTTGTGTTCCAGTCACCCATTA